AAAACTGGAGTTGTACAGTCAGCTGTTACTGTGTAACAAGCTACCTCCAAATTCAGTGGCATAGAACAGGGGTCAGCCAACTTTTTCTGTCAAGGGCCAGATAGTAAATACTTTAGGCTTTGGGGACCATACAGTGCATTGTCACAACTACACAATTCTGCCATGGTAGAGTGCAGCCATAGGTGTGGCGGGGTCTAGCAAAAATTTATTGATGGATACTGAAATTGGAATTCCAAATAATTTTTACACTGCAAAATAGTCTTCTTTCGATTTATTTTTAGCCACTGGAAATGTACAAACTATTCGTAGCTGGTGGGCCATACAAAAACAGGTGGCGGGCTGGATTTAGCCTGCAGGCCATAGTTTGCTGAGCCCAGTGTAGAATAACAATTATTCTTGCCCATGTGTGTGCTGGTTGACTGTGGTTCTCCTGATTTAGCTGGGCATGGCTGGGCTGCTCGGCCTCCAGCTTCAGTCCAGGGAGTGTGGCTCCTCCCTGTGGAGCCAGGTGTGCTCCACGTGTGCTTGTTCTGGACCCAGACTGAAGGGGTAGCGGCTCCCTGGGAAAGCACTTCTCCTGGCGAAGGCAAAGGTCCCAGAGGGCAAGCCCATCCTCACAAGCACATTTCAAGGCTTTGCTTACATCATGTGTGTTAACATCCCATTGGACAAACAAATCACCTTGCTAAATCCAAGTTCAAGGAGCAAAGAAGTATTACAGGCCACCTGTAAGACAGTCTACTGCAGAGTCATCAGGCCAAGAGTGACAGGGAGGGGCGAGAACTGGGGCCAAGAGTTCAGTCTACCACAGGTGCCCACTCAGTCATAGCGCAGTACTTTTGTGTGGATGGAAATCCCATGGTTATTCCCTTATGCTGATTTTTTTAAATGAAAACATTGAATTAACAATTCTTAGAATCTTCGGATCTTGAGACTATATCTAAAAACCCTAGGTTGAGAAACACTAATTTCTAATAAACTTCCTTACTTTAATAATAGGGAATTTGGGGTGTTCTGGTGTTTGGAAATTCCTCCAGAAAAGGTCTTGTCTGATCTACACTCCTGAGCCTAATTTAGCACCCCTAAACCCCGGTGGGTCCTCAGCAAATGCTAGGTAGGGTTGTTGCGTGATGACTACAACACAATAGCTGCCATTTATTGGGCACTAAAAGATTTGTGTGTCTTAACTCTGCATCCTCACAACCATACTGAGTTAGATATTATTATCCCCCTTTTACAGATTGAGAAACTGGGGCTTAAAGGTCCAGGTTACTTGTCCAGGGCTACCCAACTAATCATGGGGCCAGGACTTCAAACCAAAGCTCAAGCTTCCAATCTCCAGCCCCAGATATGAATATCTCAGTGAACTTGATCTTCCCCACTAATGTGGGAACCTCCTGTTTCTCTAGAGAATACTTTTCAAGCTGATGGCATGAGACTGCTTCCTTTTTCTTATCTGATTGCTGCTGATGAATATTTGGCAGATTTTATTTTTTTAACAGGTTTATCAAGATATAAGTCACATACCATACAATTCACCTGTCCAGAGAGTGTAATTCAATGGTCTTTAGTATATTCACAGACATGTGCAACCATCACCACTAATTTTAGAACATTTTCATCACCTCAAGAAGAAATGCTGTCTTTTAGCTGTCACCCCACCTCTTCTCCCTGCTTTCTCCTAGCCCTAGGCAACTACTAATCTACTTTCTGTGCTGGACATTTCATATGAATGAGATCATACAGTATGTATCTTTTGTGACTGGCTTCTGTCACTTTGTTGAATGTTTTCAAGGTTCATCAGTGTTGTAGCATGTTTCATTTTTTATGGCTGAATAATATTCCATTGCATGGACATTCCACATGTTGCTTATTCATTCATCTGTTGATGGACAGTTGGGTTGTTTTCACCTTTTGACTATAATGAATAATGCTGCTATAAACACTTGTGTACAGGTTTCTTTGTGGGCATATGTTTTCATTTCTCTTGGGTAGATACATACCTAGGAGCAGAATTGCTGGGTCATACAGTAACTCTGTGTTTAATCTTTTGAGGAACTGCCAGACTATTTTCCAGAGTAGCTGGACCATTTTACATTCCCACCAATAATATATGAGGGCTCTGATTTCTCCACATCCTTGCTGAAATTTGTGGTTATCTGACTTTCTTTATTCTAGTCATCCTGGTGGGTGTGAAGTGGCTTTGTAGAGGTTTGGTTTATTTCTCTGCTTTTTTCCTATCTTTTGCTCATTTCACTGAGGGAGGCAAATGAAGAGCCGCCCATAATGGATGTGCAGGTCGTTTACTAAAAAAATCTGTGGAGTACTTTTCACACCAGCCTGTCAACTGCTTCACTCGGCAGTGTTAATCTGGAAGACCCTTCAAATCTAGAGCATGATATTGAAAATTTATTTCTATTTAATTTCTCTCCAGCCACAAGCCCATTTGAATTTGCAGAATGGGCAGAATCTCCTGGCTCTCTCCCCTACCCTTGCCCCAGGACCCTGCATGTAAAGGCATGACTAAGAGACAGGTTTTGTTCTTGCCCCAGGGCTCATTTCACCTGCTCCACCAGCAGCCAGATTCATTATGAAGAGTGAAGCCAAGTGTGTTCGGCTTAGGGGGTGGTTTGTCCTGAGGCTGGTTCGTAGGCAGGGTGCCTTTTACAAGCAGAGCACCGGGACTTGGGAAGGGAAGAGCTACCTGAGTTGGTCACAGGGCTCTGGAATCAGACATTCCAGCCACTTTTGGGAAATGTGTCTGAGCAAGTCACCTTTTCTCTCTGAGCTCTAATTTTCTTTTCTTTCTTTTTTTTAAAAAACATATCTTTATTGATTTCAGAGAGAGGAAGGAAGAGGGAGATGATGATAGATGATAGATAGATAGATAGATAGATAGATAGATAGATAGATAGATAGATAGATGATAGATAGATAGATAGATGATAGATGGATGGATAGATAGATAGATAGATAGATAGATAGATAGATAGATAGATAGATGATAGATAGATACATCAATGATGAGAGAGCCATTGATCGGCTGCCTCCTGCACACCCCCGACTGGGGACCGAGCCCGCAACCAGGGCGTGTGCCCCGACTTGGAATCGAACCCCAATTTCCTGGATCCTAGGTCGATGCTCAACTGCTGAGCCACGCCCGGCCGGGATGAGCTCTAATTTTCAAATCCATAAAGTGAGGTTGCACAATCTAACAGAACAAAGAGAGTTGTGAGTATTAATGCCTGTTGCACGCCTAGTCAGTAGCAGGTGCTGAGCAGATCACAGTAGCTTTATTATCTTCAGTTAGCTTCACATGGGTTTCAGGAAAGGCGGGGGTTGTGAGTGAAATTACAGAATGTGAAACCTGGGTGTAGAATTTGGGATTGCAGGTAAACATGCCTCATTTACCAGGTCTCCAGGGCTTTGTTGAAATTTGATAAAAGATAGTTTTAGAATGATAAAAGAAAGTACTAATTCCATTATCAGTTAAACGGGGAAAAGAAGGGTTAGATCATGGTTTTTGAGTCACCTAGGAAGTTTACTTATATATCAGTATTCATAAAATGCTCTGCACATTTGAAGGGACCCCCTTCCCTTGCCAAAGCCTGTCCATGGACACTAGTTAGGAACCCAGGCCTGAATCATCTCAGAGGCCTCCTTCCAGCTTAAGTGTTCTTCACTCTGTTTCTGGGTGTAGCAGATGCCAGAGTTCAAGTTCGCATTCAGGCCAGCCTCTTTATCTCTCTGCTCTCCTGTTTGCCAGATTGGGAAGCAGCTGGAGAACAGAGGTGATGCTGTCTCCCTCCTGGGGTTCTGGGAGCATCTGAGATGTGATATGTGAAAGTACTTTGTCAATGGTGGATGGCCTCATAAATCATTTTTGTAAGCACTCTGCTCTAAGACGAGGTGTAGGGCTGAAAAACAGAATGTTTTATGGATTTGATGGATTCCTGGAAATTTGCAAGCAAATCAGGTTTTTGAACATCCAGTCTCTGCAGCATCCAGTTATGTCATCATTTAGGGGAGGCCAACAGTGAATCCTCGATTGTGGCAGACATTCTGTGGCAAAGTAGAATATTCCTTCCTATTAAATGCATGTTCACATAGCAAATTTGCTCGAACCAGGGGAAACGATGGGAGCTCATAGGGGATTCCAGGACATTTCTGGTTGATTCTGGCAAGGTCACTCGGGGGAGCTTGTGGGTAGCGTCCCTCATTCGGCAGAGTGCTTGAGAGCATGGGCTATACTGGCAGAGAACCGAGTTTGAACTCCAGCTTCCCCATGCATTTCCTTTGTGGTCTCAGGCAAGTTACCCAACAACCCTGAACCTCAGTTTCCTAATCTGTAAAATGGGGATAATAGTAGCTACTTCATAGAGTTGTGAGAATTCATGAGACAGAGTACTTGTCACCGTGAAATTGCTCCATGAATGTCAGCTGTTGATGTTTTATTATTGATTCCTTTATTAATTATTACCATGGTCAGAAAGAGCATTCTGGTGTCTGTGGACCATGTTTGACCCAGGGGGCCAAAACTCATGCTTTTTTCATATTATTTGCTGAGGATCTGTCCACATACCATCTTAGTTTTAGACAGACTTTTAGAGGTCATTTAGGACAGATTTGCACTGAGTGGAGAAATCCTTCCTTCAGCCTCCTGGACAGAGGGTCATCCAGCTACTGCTTAAATTCTCCTAGTAACAAGGAGCTCACCACCTCACAACATCTGCATCTTCTAAGTACACGCTGGTCCTGGTCCTGCCTCCCCAGTGTGGAAGGGATGGGGTGCAGGGGGAGAGAGAGAAAGAGAGAGCTGAATTTTACTGTTGCTGGCCCAAGCTCGGGTTCCAGCCCTGCAGCCGTGAGGGCACTGTAGCAGGAAGTTTCTGTGTGGTAGCAGATGAGGCCAGGCCCGGGGCCCTGGTTTGGGGAGGAGCCCAAGAAGATGAGAACCCCCTCCAGAATGGCCCATTCTAGACTCTCTTTTTGTCTTCCAGATTGTGGACAAGAACAACCGCTACAAGTCCATAGACGGGTCAGACGAGACTAAAGCCAACTGGATGAGGTGAGTCCTGCTCTCTGCTGATTTCCCGGGAGCCTTGCCTAAGCTCTGGACAGAGGCCAAGGGAGCGTGCTGGGCCTGTGGGGTCTCCAGTGGTGGAGGCCCCTGAAGCCCCGGGACTGCTGTTCGCAGGGTTTAAGAGGTGTCTAGCTCTAGGCAGCCCTCTAGCTCCCCCAGTCTTCCATCAGGGAGCTCTGGAGGAGGCCTGTGGCCAGAGCGGCGGGTTACAGGGACCCGTAGAGACTGCACACTTCTCAGCATGTCTGGAGTACCCAGGCCCCTGGCTCCCAGCAGCATTCCCACACGGGCAGTGGACTGTCCCTCCACCCAGGACTGTGCCACCTCTCACAGGGCAGATCCTGCTGGAGTGGTGCCAGACTCACCCCAGGGCAGCCACAGCAGTTGTTTAAATGGCCCCATGGAGGAGGAGGATTCCCGCACAGTCTAGCTCAATTTTTGATGGTACTTGTAGCCCAGGCATGAGTATTCCCAAGAGTGGCCTTACTGCAGTCCAGTGTTTGGGAAAGAAGTTTGTGCCAGAAGGATCCTTCATGGCCAGCCAGGGAGAGCAGGAGACTGGCCAGGGTTGCCCAGAGGCAGCTAAGCTGAGCTTGGAAATCTGAAGGTTCCCCTTTCCGTTCTAGGCTGCTGGTCTGTGCTGTGTGCCAGAGCCCCGCAGGTGGGCTCTGTGGGTGGGTGTGGGAGGTCTAACTTGCCTTGTTGCCTTTTTGGTGGCCTCTCTCTGGGACTTGGGAGTGTTGACGGGGGTTTGGATCTGGGTTAGGAGGGAACGGAGGCCTTGGATGGCATCTGTGCAGTTCTGTGACTCGTGGAGACTGGAGCCTGAGAGACTGTGCTTGGAGGGAGGGCAGTTAGGGACTTCCTAAGAGGAAGTTTGCTGTATTTAAACTATGAGACTTTCTAAGCAAATGAGGAGAAATCGGTTTGAAGTGGGGAGGCTGTGACATTGTCTCCTGTCCCCTTTGTGGTTTCACTGCCTCCCTGTGCTCCCACCTGAGAGCCTCAGCCATACCCTGAAAGTGGCTCCAGGAAGGCGATCCACACTCCTAAATGCCTTCTCCTTCCAGAGCTCTGGGTGCAGGTCAGCTCAGCACATGCAATTTACCACCTGTTGCTGAGCACCTACTGGGAGTCAGAGCCCATACGGGGCGCCCTGCCCTTCCAACCCTCCCAGGACTCACGTCTTCCAACACTGAAATTGCTTTTTCTGAAACAGTTGTTGAGTGGAGGCCCAGACCATGTGCTGCAAGGGCCCAGATGAAAGAGGAGGGGCCTTTGAACTGAGCCTTCAAAGGGGCCAGGATCTTGTTTGAAGGCACTGTGAGCAGAGACACAGAAGTGGGGGCAACGTGGCCGGTGGGCCATCAGGTGGCTGCACACTCAGGCCCCTGGCCTGTGCTCCTGTTCCTATTGCTGTAGTCTGGCTTCGGCAGGCGAAGGAGTGTGGGTCTGAGAGCTGTCTGGTGTCAGGCCTTCCTGCAGTCACTTTCAGAAACTTTGGCCTGTAGAGCTGATTCCAGAAGTTCCACTTTTCTACCCATCTTTGACCTTCCAGCTGGGGAATAAGGCTTTACCACAATTCCAAAGAAGGGGGTTCCTCGTCTGAGCTAAGCAGGCAACCATCCATCATCCCAGAGAGCCTGATTTACTTGGGCTGGGACTGAGCCCAGGGCATTGGTGTTTTTTAAAGCTCCCTATAGTAATTTTAATGCGCCGCTAGTGTTGAGAACCACTACCCTGTACCAATCTTAATGCCTCAGGAGTAAACTGAGGCCCAGAGCAAGGCAAGGCCATGTGGTCAGTGGCTGAACCTGGACTTCTGGGCTAGTGTTCTTTCTGCTTGTGCATAGAAGCTTCCTGAGCCTTGTATGGGGCGGGTTCTGCTACCACTATCTTGCCTGCATGGGATCTGTCCCATTCCTGCTCCAGGCTTCATTCTGATCTAAGATGACACCAAGGTAGTCACAGCTGTAGGGCCCTCATCTCACTGAAGGCTCCAGGAGTGGGTGGGGCTGGGTATGTGTCCCACTGCCGTGGAGATGCCCCTCTAGCGGTGGTTGGAGTGGAGAGCCAGCTCATCCTGGGAACACTCCTCCCCCCCTTAGTGTGCAGCTGCCATCTGTACAGCTCCTTCTCATTTGCAGACTGTCACTTGTACTGTCAGAGCCTAAGGTCTTCAGAGAATCTAATGGAGGCAGTCAGTTTCTTCAGATAAGTAGTGGGCCGGAAAGAGAATGGGCACCCACATAACAAGCACTGCCTCTATGACAGCCCTGTGCTAGGTACTCTACATTCATGAAATCAGTGGTCCATGCCCAGGGCTTGTTTGGCCGCCTGGGGTATTTGGCAGTCCCTTCACGCATGTTTGGCTGTCACAATTCTAGGGGTAGGTGCTACTAAGTTCTCTTGGGCAGAAGCCAAGGATGCCGATTAACCTCCTATACTGCCCAGGGAGCCCCTCCCCGACTAACAAAGAATTTGTCAGCCCCAAATACCAACAGTGGTGAGATTGAGACACCCCTGTATTCAATCCTTTTGGTGGCCCTAGGAGGTGGCACTAGGATCACCACCCTTGTTTTACAGACACAGGTTTGCAGAGGAGACTCAGCCTCTAGTCCCAGGTCTGTCTGAGTACAAGGCCCAGGCCTCGGCCTTCCTCTCCTAGTGAGAGGTGAAGGGTCTTTGTGCTCTTCGCCTCTTGTTGAAGTTTTGGCAGCAGTCAGAGAAGTGAATCAGGTCCCAGGTCTCCCTCCATATCCTGAGTTCCTGTCTTGGGTGGGTCTTTGGGCACTAGTTAAAGGGTAGACAGAACCACACTGTGGAGACTGAGTTCCAGAGCCAGAGCAGGTGCCAGGCCAGAAGGGCGAAGGGCCACACTGTCCCCTTGCCCAGGGCCCCTGGTTGCTCAATGTAGATGAAAGTCGAGGTCACTCCTGGTTTCCATCAAAATGGAACTCGTCATCTGGTGGGCACTCATGAGCTCCTCATGTTGCACCCATGAGCTGCTAGAGAGCCACAGCAGCCTACACCCAAAAGGAGCAGCTGCCAGCCAGCACTCCAGTTGGAGGGCAGCCTCCACACAGCCAGAGGTGGGGACGTGGTGGGGACTTGGAAGCAGGGGATGGAGAAGAGAGCCATGGGACAGAATAAGTTCTCTGTGACTATACCCTAATTCTGGGCATCACCAGCCAGGCCATATGCCATGGAAGGCCACTGTGAATAGTCTCCCTGTTTAATTATTCTTCCTCCAAGACATTTATAGAGGCCATGGAGGAATCCTCACCCAGTAGGCATCCTTTGTTCCTGTTCAGGACTTTAAAGCTCTTTTACATCCCTGTGCCTCCCCCCCTTAGGAAGATCCCCCTAGGTTGACGTGGTTGTTATTCCCTTTCCGGGTGGGGACAGTGGGCTGGGAGCAGCTGAGTGAACTGCCCTGGCCCGCACAGCTAGTCAGAGGTAAGTCAGGGCCTGGAACCGGCGGCGGGCTCAGCCCAGTGCCCCCACTCGTGTGCGCCGCTGCGTGGCTTCCTGCCTCAGGAGTAGGAGGAGGGTGTAGTGGTGGTGAGCTGGTGAGGGTGCCCAGGTGCCTCCTGGCTCCCCAGCTGGGGGCCGGCATTAGGAAGGAGGAGGACCACCCACGTTGACGGTCATTTACCCAATTGTGCTTTGTGGGATATTCAACCCAAGGAATGTGGCACCCCTGGCCGATCGTAAGCGGAAGCCCAAGTTCTCCAAGGAGGAGCTGGACATTCTGGTCACCGAGGTGACCCACCACGAAGCTGTTCTCTTTGGGAGGGAGACCATGCGGCTGTCCCATGCCGACAGGGACAAGATTTGGGAAGGCATAGCTCGGAAAATCACCTCTGTGAGCCAGGTCCCCCGCTCCGTCAAGGACATTAAGCACAGATGGGATGACATGAAACGGAGGACCAAGGACAAGCTGGCCTTCATGCAGCAGTCCCTGTCGGGCCCCGGGGCCGGGGGCCGGGCCCCCACCATTGTGCTCACTGCCCACGAGAGGGCCATCGAGTCAGCGCTGCTCTCGGCCCGTTCTGGGCACAGCTTCCCCAGGGCAGAACTGGATGGCACCGACAGCCCTTCGACCAGCTGTGAGTACCACTGTCCCCCTCCCCAGGCTCCTTCTGCTCGCTCCCTCACCGCCTCCTTGGTGGTCCCCATTCACTTGCCTGCTCCATCTCTCTTTTGTCCCTCTCTGTCTCACCCATCTTTCCATTCTTCCCTGCCTGTCCCACTTTGTCTTCTCCACCCCTTTCCGTTCATTCAATCTAGAATATTTCCTGAACACTGCGCCGGGAGTTGTGTATAAAATCCACACCGGCCCTGCTCTTGGGAGTTCCTAGACTCGTGGGAATAGACAAACTTTAAGTAAATAATCGCACAAAGAAATTGGTAATGAGGGAATGAGGGACCAGTATGAGGAGTCCTGAGGGCTGACTTCACGGGCACGTGACCTGTGCCACCACTTGTGACCTGGGCTCCATGCTGAGTTAAATACTCAGCTGCTACTTTCCTGACACTCATAATAGTTTTTGAGCACAGCATCCTGCATTTTCATGTTGCATTTGGCCCTGCAAATGATGTAGCAGCCTTGTCTGAGAACGGGCTCTCCACCAGGGACTGGGGAAGGCTCCCAGGAGAGGCAGCTGAACTGAGATGCAGAGGGTGAGTAAGAGTTAACCAGGCCAGTGACTGCGTGGGGCGCAGAGGAGGGGAGGGGAGGGGAGCGCCTCACAGGCAGAGAACAGCATGTACAAGGCCCCGCATCAGGAAGGCGCTTGGCACGTTCCAGGAACAGAGAGGAGCCAGGGAAGCCCAATGGAGCAGGCGAGGGGGAGGGGGAGGGGGCATGAGAGGAAGCCAGCCAAGTCTTCAGGGCCCAGGCCACAGAAAGATCAATTCTCTCTCTCTCTGTCCATTCCTAACGTCTTTATTTCTGTGTTATTTTCTGCCTTCTCTCAAGT